TTTTTTTTTTTTTTTTTTTTTTCTTTTTTTCTTTTTGCTACTCGTTTTACTCCAGATTTCTTGCAAGGACGGGATCTTATGTTACTACCCAATAAGAAGTACGTAAAGTACGTAAATTTACTCGTTGTTGAATATCTCGTAGCTTATTATGCTCCTTTGTTTTCCGAATCAAGTTTGAGACTCCCACCCCCTTCCCAGCCCCATAGAAAATTCCTGGATACGTGCTTGACTAATAAACGAACTTTAGCGATCACAGATTATCCATCCCCACTGTTCTTATCACTAGAGATGAGTGGCGAGAATTTGTGTTCAATCACCGTAGAACACTCTTCTAGCTGATACGAAAGAGTTTTGTCCAATTTCATGACTGGTTGGCAAGATGGTGTATTGGTATGGTAGCGACAAATTCCATCTTAACCACCTTGAATATTAAAAACACTGTTCTCGTGTTTGCTAGGTTCTCATTACCGGTCCAGCAGACACTCCGTATGCCAATGGCTGTTTCGAGTTCGATGTATACTTTCCGCAGAACTACCCGGAATCGCCGATGCACGTGAATTTTGAAACTACTGGGCACCACAGTATACGCTTCAATCCGAATCTTTACAATGATGGAAAGGTAATTAAGAGTGTGATGTACATTGTGATGTACACTGTGATGTACAGTGTGATGTACAGTGTGATGTACAGCATGACATTCAACTTGACGAGTTATATTTATCACCTTCTCACCTTCCTCATCGTCGCTAATCCATTTTCATCTCCATTGGCTATCAGTTTTGTAGTATTTGGGAGAGAAGCCGTTAGCCTGCTGGACAAGATGAAGCAATGCGTGGACACTTACTCGAGAACTTTGCGGTAAGATAAGTAGGAACTCCTCAAATTGACTGTTAGTAGTAAAGACTTGGGTTAAAAAAATTATTTATCAGTAATTATATTTCTAAGTAGGCGCGAATAAACGACCCCCATTGTTCACTCTTAGACCGGAGGCTGTCGGGCGATACTTCATTTAAGGAACGATGTTAAGTTTTTGTCTCAGCGAAATATGAAACTACTCTAGGTAGGAAAGTTTTGGCTTTGCTATATATTTTTGTCTTAAAAAAGTTTTGTCTGGATAAATCAGACAGGGGCACCAGCGAAACATTACCGGTATCTCAACAACAACATCAAAGGACAAAAATTTCCAAAAGATTTGATTTTTCCAAAAAGAGGGAGAAAGGAAAAAATGTTCGTCAATTAAGCTTCTGTTTTCAAGTTTTTTCACACAGATACTTTAAACGTTGTGTGAGTTTGTCTAATCCATGGATTTCTAAAGGCATGTAATTTTTGCCAAGACAAATCTAAAGCTACTTACACTAATTTTCTCAGCGGACCCAAGTGGGTCGGTTAAGGAAAAATATTGTGCCAGCTCACTCGGCATTAGGCTCTTTCGCAGCCGTTGTTTGGTCACGTGTTTGTCATCAAGATGCGAAGGAGACGTATTCAATGTAGTCAAACCAAAGCTAAGACAGACTATTTCTTCAGGTCGACGCAAGGAAAAAGAGAAGATTCATCTGCAACAAACACCTCTGGCGCAGAACCAAATGCCTCAAAAGGACCGAGTACCACAGTCGAACAAAGTACTAAAGGGGAATCCAGCAGCTTTGCAGCACCAAGCAGTGTAGGAAGCCTATTGTTCTCATCCGGACCAAGTACTTCTGCGGGACCTAGTACCGCAGCACTACCAAGTTCATCCAAACAAGGTGGAAGCGACGAAAAGAAGGACCAGGAGGCTGAAGGACTCGCCTTGTTGATACCTGACATCCAGGAAACTGCAAAGTTGATGCAGAGGGTAGTGCACGAATTTCACCAGCAACAAGCTTCTTCTAACAAGGAAGGGGATGGAGGCGGAAAGGGGCCGGAGGAACAGGCGGAGTCCCTTTCTCCTGAGGAGAGGTACTTGGCCAAAATGAGGTCGCTTCAGTTTGGTGAGTGTGGCTGATAGGTATTCGTAAGTAAGGTCGTGAAAGCATATGATACAATTGGACGGTAGCAAGCAGAGTTTACCTTGCTTTGAACTGAAGTTATGGTTCTCTCGCACCAAATATGTGGTGGAGAGTCAATTTTATAGCTATTGGCGTCAGATACTCGGATCTTTGCTACAACGTGTAATTCAAAATGGGGTTTGTACAGAAGATAGTGGGTACCATGTCTCATCGCCACCATCCCACGGTAGTGTAAGTTGTGGTACATGATAATTTCCCTTAAGCTTGAAACTAAACATAAGTACAGCTCACTATAGATTGCCAGTGATACTGAGAGGGAGAATTCGCTGAACAATCAAGAACCCTCTAGTTGATGATCATTTCCTTGATTCTCGGATGATCTTAAAGTTTGATTGAGAGGTGATAATGTTGGCAGAAAATACAGGATAATCAATCTTGGCGTTTGAAGGGTTAAAGAAGCTATCGTCTCGCCTCAGAGTACTGTTTCTCCGTTTCCTGAAATTTGTTAATATTTCAAAAAAAAATTGAGGAAAAACTTATTGTCAACGTGTAACGAAGAATTATGAAGTTATGTAAGCGAAACAAACGATGACTCTTGCTCACATTTTCCCGACATTTTTTTTTCCGTCATCAGGTCTAATGTCGCATTCATGGCCTCGACAAGAAACTTGTCAAGATTTCCTTGTTGAATAATTCTTATTGTTACGAAATGTGTCAAGAACTTTGTCTCGAAAAAAGTTAGACTTTCGGTTGTGAACTCCTTGTCAGTGATTTTCGGAATTTCCCGACACGACTGGTTTATTAAGTCAAACCTTTGTTAATCTTGACAGGAACCCACCGGATCGTGATTGAGAAAGATGACGGAAAACTAGAGTTCGATCCTGGCGGTTACCACTTTGCATCTTCAGTGCGGTCAACGGCTAATGCGGGTGGCAGCGGAAGCATGGTGCGGGCTCGGCGGCTCGCACAGGAAGTGTCGTCTCTGGCTACGTCACTTCCGCTGTCCAGCAGCTCGAGTGTGTTCGTCCGGTGCGATAAAGAGCGACTGGATGTTATGAAGGTAATAATGAATCTTTATTTAAACAGACATTCACGCGTGTTGATGACGAATGGCAAAAGAGGGTCCTTCCGGTTTCGGAGTAAGTTTACTTAGTATTTTCCAGTAACATTGGTAGATCCACGAAGAGGTTCCGGTTTTTCTTTCTTTCTTTTTGCTACTCGTTTTACTCCAGATTTCTTGCAAGGACGGGATCTTATGTTACTACCCAATAAGAAGTACGTAAAGTACGTAAATTTACTCGTTGTTGAATATCTCGTAGCTTATTATGCTCCTTTGTTTTCCGAATCAAGTTTGAGACTCCCACCCCCTTCCCAGCCCCATAGAAAATTCCTGGATACGTGCTTGACTAATAAACGAACTTTAGCGATCACAGATTATCCATCCCCACTGTTCTTATCACTAGAGATGAGTGGCGAGAATTTGTGTTCAATCACCGTAGAACACTCTTCTAGCTGATACGAAAGAGTTTTGTCCAATTTCATGACTGGTTGGCAAGATGGTGTATTGGTATGGTAGCGACAAATTCCATCTTAACCACCTTGAATATTAAAAACACTGTTCTCGTGTTTGCTAGGTTCTCATTACCGGTCCAGCAGACACTCCGTATGCCAATGGCTGTTTCGAGTTCGATGTATACTTTCCGCAGAACTACCCGGAATCGCCGATGCACGTGAATTTTGAAACTACTGGGCACCACAGTATACGCTTCAATCCGAATCTTTACAATGATGGAAAGGTAATTAAGAGTGTGATGTACATTGTGATGTACATTGTGATGTACATTGTGATGTACAGTGTGATGTACAGTGTGATGTACAGCATGACATTCAACTTGACGAGTTATATTTATCACCTTCTCACCTTCCTCATCGTCGCTAATCCATTTTCATCTCCATTGGCTATCAGTTTTGTAGTATTTGGGAGAGAAGCCGCAGTCTAAAAGTTGCCTGCGGGCCTTGGTCGGGTATTGGTGTTGAGTCTTTGTGCTGTGTTTTTTCAGCAAGATACTGAACTCTCAAAACGCCATTCTCCCGTCAGGAGTAGAAATGAGTGTCGGCAAACTGTCAGTCAAATCTGACGAAATGCAGGGCTAGGGAAGGGGGGCAAACTGTAAGTGACACCAGACGAAAATACAGTGGGAGGGGAGGGGAGGCGAGGGGAGGCGGAGGAAAGGGGCGGGGAGGGTAAGGGATTAATCTGCAGTGGACTGGCATCACACCTATTAGTAGTGGCAATTCTCTTAGTTCATTAATACTACTGAAACTGGGATATCCTTCGCGTGCTAAAAGAAATAGTCTCTTATTCAGAAATTTTACATGGCGAGTGAGTGAGTTGTCTGAAATATGGCAGTGACGTCCAGGACTGATGGAGAGTAGTTTACGTGTAGTATTCACCTTTCCCCTGCTGTTGATTTTATGTCCTTTTTCTTTCATCAGGTATGCCTGAGTATATTGAACACGTGGCATGGTAGACCAGAGGAGAAGTGGAATCCACAGAATTCAAGCTTTCTTCAGGTACTAACACCTTTGGACAGAATCTTAAGTAATTTCCAACTAAAGTATCTACCTCGTGGCCGTGACACAGGCCACAACTCTTGTAACCGAGTAGCGGGTTGAATAAATTCCCTCATGTTTTAGGTCCTGGTGTCAATTCAGTCGCTCATACTGGTCAACGAGCCCTACTTCAACGAGCCTGGTTACGAGAGATCCAGAGGAACACCCGCTGGACAGCAGAACTCGCGGGAGTATGATGCGAATATCTGTCAGGCCACTGTACGCTGGGCCATGTTGGAGCAATTGAAGAAACCGTCACCTTGCTTTAAACAGGTGAGATTGGGATGACAATTTTCCCATTTTGATATCTCTTCGACTCAGATTCGCTCGCATATTGGTGTAGTCGGGATCATTTCGTACAGGCGCTTCGAAAACTATCGAGTGTTCATCATCTGGTCAAGTATAATCTTAAGGTCATCTCTGGCGTCGGTTTCACAACTACAACGTTTTTTCACTCTCCCTGTGTTGCAGATTGGTAAATCAGTACGAAGCGTAACCTAAAGTATTAGAAGAGACAATTAAGGTTTTGCACATCATTCCCCAAAGTTAGATGGCCGTGGGAAAAACAAACAACACCCAACATTTTTAGTTTGCGCCATTTTTTGCTCGTTAACTTTCGGATTTACTAAAATATGAAGGGGGCTCTAACGGCTTAAATTTGTCATCAACAATCCGTGTTATTATTAACTGTACCTAACCATATTCCATACTTTTTACTTTTCCCGTTTTGATTTCTTTAGTTCTAACCCAACTAATATACTGCGGTTTGTTTCTCGATGAAACTTCTTTTCCTGGTCGTGACAAGCAGCGAAAAATACTTTGACGTAGGATCTTAATTAACGTTAGGGAATGGCGTGGTTTTAGAGTTACTTGCTGTCTGCTAACACTCTGCCATCCACAGGTTATTGAAGCGCACTTTTATCTCAAGAAGGATGAAATTCTAAAGCAGTGTGAGCTATGGACAAAAGAAACGGAGAGCCTGCTATCAGGCCGACCGGTTGGCAGGGCTATATCACATCACGTGCAGTCACTGAAGCAGAATACTGCGCTGTTGAAACAAGAACTCGACAAACTTCAACCTCCTGCGGATCATAAACAAGAGAATGGTGATAGCGACGAGGATAGTGACTGAGCTGCAAAACAGCCATTTATGTCAAGCACTGGTGAATCATGGCTGGACCAAAGAAGGATTCAATTTCATTTGTTTCCCGCTTGCAACAAATTGTTTACGAGGTGCTTCCCAGCACCAACTTTCCTCGGGTCCTCTCGGGCCGTCATGCTCCTTCGCCGAACAATAAACATTCTCATGCGAAAAATTTTCAGCACGAGAGAGCTTAAGCATTTTTTAATGGTGCTGTGTTTTATTGCAAGATAAGTTTAACAATTACAGCTAAACGTGACAAGATTTTCCTTCATCAACGGGCTGCAAAACGAATTTGAAGCGATATTGCTAGGATTCAGACACAGACGCCGAGAATCGCTTAACTGGAGAATCGTCCCTAGAAAGGGGTTTTCTGGAGGAATCTGTGCTTTGTGAAGACAGCTTGACTTGCCCTCAGCTAGATGAAGTGAACTGCGTATTCTGAACAATACGAGCGTCATGCGCGTTTTTTACATCCTATTTATCTGGTTTGATAACAGACTATAATCGACTTTATTGAATTAAGAGGCCAACAAAGTACTTTTGATTATTGCACTGTAAATACTAAATGAAAAGTCAGAATACCTTAAATGAGGAAGATATGAAATGGGGTTACGATGGACCAATTGTGTAATTGAAAATAGGAAATGGACTTGAATGGATCAAGTCAAAATTTATTTAAGAAGTGACGGTAAGTCGAAATGAGCAGTGCTTTACTATATTCGCTACTAACTTGTCCGAGTCGTTTTTCTTTGAATTTTGAATTAATTTGCACTTCTACCGAGAGATCGGCTACGAAATTAAAGTTGATCATTATTATTACCTTTAGAGTTTGGTGGAACTTTGTACAGAGAAGTGAATTTGGTGTTTCACCTCGAACGTTTTCTTGTTAGTTCTGACAAAAAAAATGTCCGTAAACTTGTTTACGTAAGGCTTGTTTCATGTAGTAGTCACTTACAAGTTTTTTGCAACCCCTACCGGGAAGGTTATCATTGATATTGAACCACTCAGTTCCTGTGAGATCTTAAGATCTTGGTTAAACTGTGAAACTTCGTTACAATACACCGCAAGATGTTTCCCTGTTGCGGAAATGCGGAATTTTTTTAGCACATGTAATAATGGGTTATAGTCGCTGGCAACAAATTCTGTGTTTGAAAGCGTGAAGTTGTCAGTTTATTAATAGCAGTTTTTTTGTTACTGAATTTGGGCGTAATCAGAATCACAGAAAAAAGTTACTAGGGCAGGAATGTCTTTTAAAACCACTTTTCTGTTGAATTGCAGTTTCACACAAATGAAGTTTACTGTTCTGAGAAAGATTATTTTCGAATTAGTAGTTACCTTTGCGAATGACATCAGAGTCAAGATATTTTTTAGCTCTAACAATGAATTCTAGAAGCTAAGTAATCATAAACTGCATCAATTGCTGCACGTTAATAAATTTTGAATTCCTGTGCTGAGGCAGATTTTTTTTCTCTGCAAAAGTAATTCCTAAAATGAATATTGAATTATGTTTTCCCGATAATTACTAAGCGTAAAATTCATGAATCGAGAAACCATTTTTGTGAACAAATCACTCAACCCAGTCAATATTGAAAATTGCCAAACTATTTTGGACTTTGGATAAAAGGGGTAAGTTTCGAAAATAAAATTCCGGTGCCACGTCGGTGAGGTATAACAAGAGAATTTGGTTATCTCAACTGAATTGATACTTAATTGGTCACCGTAAAGGGATTTTAACCTGACGCCTCGAGCGTTAGCCCTTCAGCTTGGTCCACGCGGAATGACCACGAGCCAAACATTCTCCAGTCTGGCCCTCTCTCTTAATCAATAAGTTCATATTAACACCCAGGACTAAAGATGGAAAAGTGCGAGCACAACTCGGGCCACTCTGTTGAGTTATTGAGTTACAATCCTTTTTACCATCACCTAACAGCGCCTCTCTCCAATGTCAGGAAACCTATAGAAACACTGAAAGGACTGGCATCCAAATCCAGAAAAGTGACAATAGCCTCAGTCCTCATTACAGTTTCCACAGAGGTATTATAAAAAACGATAAAAAACCAATTTTAGACCATAACTGATGTACACACACTCGCTTAAAAGTACTACAACATTGATTTCTGGAGAAACATGGACCAAATTTTTCTTGAAAGATAATTCTAAGGCCAATTTGAGTGATTCCGTTCAATACCGGTGGAAGACAAAACAAACAGGCCGTTGAGACTCAATCACGGGTCACCACGACCGCTCAATAGAGTTGAAAATTACCGTAATTAAGGGGACATTTTTCTAGACTTTGAAAACCGACCGCATAATACAGGGTGACCGCTTAACCCTTGCATACTAAGTGAACACATATGTCCAGATAATACCGTTACTACTTTTGATACTTGTTTCTTGTCGAACTTAAGACGCAAAATTATGTAAGTGTGTAAATTGCACCGGCTCGTTGATGTGACACCTATTGCAACCTAAAACGACCACAATGATTCCTGATTTTCATTGCAGTGAACCGTTCGTATGGCAACAAATCCCAAAGTCCCGCATTTTGCTCCAAGAGCAACACCAAAAACATGTCGATCTTTTAAGATAAAAACTTGCTAAAAAAATCAAAAGTTTGCGTTCAAATCACACCTCAGGGCCAGATCTTGGAGTTAGGCAAGAAAATTCCTTCTCACTTTATCTGCCAGCCCTAGTTTCTCCCTTTGATGAAAGCCAGTGTCGCAAACTCAACCGTTGCCTTGTTCATGCCCGAAAAGAGTTCTGGGTAATTCCGCCATAACTCGAAAAGGCAACTGCTATCATCTCCATTTCAAAGAATTATTAGAATCGTGCCGGGCCATCCAGTCCTACCAGCAAAACATCGCATCGATTGAAATTTTTACCGATCAAAACTTGGCCACATAGCCTTGGTAGGTCCTGCAAGCCATCCACAGATGGGCCCGAGAGACAAATCACTTGTGAACTCGTCAAGCTGGCAGTAAAGCATCTTTGGCGGTCCACTCTACCTGAAACCATCTCTCACCTCTGTTTTCCTTCAGAGGCTTACCTCTACCCACAGCTTAATGATGCCGTCGTGAGGGCTTCTGTAGAGGGAAAATGGCTCGAAAAACACTTATCAACGGCCAGAAAAGCGAGAAACCGAATCGATTTTAAGATGGCTCGTACCGGTTTTCATCTTTTTGATGGTTTGTAAATTTGAAAGAATACAACAGAAAGACTGACCAAGGCCAGTTCAACACTTTTACGGGGTTCAATTACATAATCATTGGTTATCCAAAAATAAGTGTCATTTCGTCACTAGCAGTTTCCATGGCAACGCTTTCATAGGCTTATTCAGACGCATTTTTTAGNCCACTTCAGGTAGATTATCCTTCACTTGAGTTCTTCTTTTTTCGCCGTCGCAAGATTTCATATCGGTTGAATATTTCTTTTAAATGTGAAGTGAAGCAACCTTTACTTCTCCGAAAATCGTCTTCGTTATCTTAGTTTCTATCTCCTGCATTCACAGTGGCCGCTCAACACATCAAATACAAGCTCTTAGGTAAACTTCTCACAAAAGTAGAAAAAATTCCACGCGCCGCCATCTTTGTTTTGAATTTTCATCTTTTGATCTCGCGCTTCTTTCGCACGTTTCTCTCGCGCGCGTCACGCAAGAGTGACCTGTTCCCCGCGCGAGGAAACTGGTACGAGCCACCTTAACGCATCCAAACACGAACTGTTGATCTAGGTCATGTGACCCCAAGGTCTGAGCCTATGGTGTCTCAAAACCGCAAATATTATAAGGACCAACGAAGTGAGGTTAAGTTTGTATCGCCAAATCACAACTGAATAAATATGGTCTATTTCGTATTCAAAGGGTTAAAGCCTTTTTCTCGTTCAATCTGATAAACATATGGGAAAGAGATTCTGGTGTAAACGGGTGTCTGTAAAACGCGGACCGGATAGATGCGGATGGCGGATGCGGATAGAAAAATGCGGATGAAAAATTTTGGATGGAAAAATGCGGATGGAAAAAACATCGTTTGGAAAAAATAAAACAACAACAACAACATTAAACATGTCACGACAGTCGAACCCCGCTATGTCGAACTCGGTTAAATTCAAGTCCCCCTATTTCGAACAAAAATCGATTTCCCTCGGATTTACTCTTGCTCCACTTCTAAAACACCAAATTAGCGCGAACTTGCCGAAAACGCTTCAAAATGGCCTGAGACGCTGGTAATCAACAAAGAATACAACAAGGCAATAAGGTAAGTCAATTTTATTTCAAAAAATGACATTTTTTTTCTCTTTTAAGGTAAACCGATAACATCCCATACAAACCTTTATAAATAACCATTGCGTAACACTGCATGAGTCACGTCCGCGCTTCTAGTTGTGAGCTTGGGCTGCCTGTGTCACAATACAAATCAATCAACGCTCTCGTTCATGAAACGCTGCCACTCTTTCATGTTGACGCCTGCCATGATGGAAGTCGTGGTGGAAAGTTCTGGTTCAGAGAGCGGGCCACGTTCATGGAAGACCTTCTTGGGAGCTCGCTCCTTATTACTGCACCTCCCAAATTACTGAAGATTTTGCCTCGTGGTGCAAACTTGTTTCAAAGGAATGCCGCTTCAGTGAGCGCGCCGGAGAGTGCGGAGTGGTTCCCTTTTCGACGCAGGGAACCCCAGCTGAGAAGACAGTCGCCTCAGTAACTTTCGTCAAGAACTTCTTCCATCGCCTCCGAACGCGATTAAGTAAAGAATGTTCTCATCTGCTCAAGTTGTTGATGTAAGAACATTCCTTACACTCGTTAACGAGTATTTCAATAGTGAAATGTGACAGACACACCTACTGTGCTGGATTGTGCGATGAATTTCGTTGAGGCAGCAGATGAGACCTTAAAGAGAATTGCTTGGCCGGGTTATATTTGCTTCACTCGGGAGAAACAACACTATGAGCTACCATCGCAGTTTTCAATCAAGTACCAAGACTTACTTCCGGTGCCACGAGAGCCAACTACGTTTCTGAATAAAGAGGACATCAAACGCCTTAACGATTGGAGAAATGAATTTGGACGAGGGGTCAGGCAACAGTCCGTGCGAAATTCTTTCACGAAAGACAAAGCTGGCACTCTCCCCCTCTATATGTACACTTCAGTGGATGCACACGACAGCTCCGAGGAAAAAGCTCTTACATCAACACAGAAGCTTTTTAATGCTTGGTTCTGAAAAGGAGGCAGATACACCAGTGCATCCATCAGGTACTAACTATAGAAGCGATGTAGAGCCCGTACCCTTGCCTGGGTATGATTCACAAGACGTATCAGTCATCACATACTGGAATTTACGCGATCAAATGCAAATCCAACTTTTTCTCTATCTTCATTTCACGTGTGATAGACGTAAATGATTTCTTTGGTACTACATAATTATGTCATAATAGATGAAAGCTGTTTTCTCTTCGAAACATCTAGCAAAGAAGCAAAATGCAAGAAAAATGACGTTATTTCTGAAATTGGTGAAGATTCGATACGATTATTCAACGGTCGTTTAGAGCTAACTGAAGAAAGATTTTGCCAGATCCTATCAGACTGCCGAGGGGAATGTGATTTAGAAACAAATGAAACTGAAGAAAATCAAGAATGTTATCTTGACTTGGAGGAAGAAGAGGCTCTAACCGAAATTTGGAATAGGAAGAGGTCAGTGCGGCCTCCCCGGCGTATGGAAGACTTTTTCTAACCGCAAAGGTTAAAAGACGATTTCAACCCATCGAACAAATCTGATAATCGGTCGAACAAAGCTGTTCAATCATGCTTCACTAGCAATTAAACTGAACGCTCAAAATGCAAACAGTTCAACAATTGATGTACTAACTACGAATACTTAGTCCTGCTTACGTCAAAAAGGGAAAGCAAGCACGAATGCAGAAAAAGCAAACTCTAAACGTTACGTCTACTTCTTGATTATTTCATTTGATTTTGAATTAGCAATAGCTATTACATCACATAGTGAGCTGAGACTTTCGTCCCTATGACGAGATGTCAGAAGCGACGATCAAACTGTGATAACCCGTTTAGTGAAAATTAGTTTAGTAAGAAAACTGACCAGTTGTAGCTTTCATCGAGAACTAATGATCCCCAGCAAAAACAAAGGCCAGCCGAAATGAACAAGAATATTAACTTTTAACTCTGTTTGAAAGTTAAACCCGGGTTTCTCATCCTCTTGATTAACCTGAATACGGGAGCAACACAATGGAGGGCGGGAGTCGGGAGTGTCTGGGAATAAGTTAGTTGCTCGTTAATAATAAGTCAAATATTAATTGTAAAAGGAATTAGTTAGATGATTACGTGATGGATTGCATCAATTCTCAGTAAATTGAACTTAGTGCACAGTTTATCATCTGATGTACTTTGCACGCGCTGATTGAACCAAACAAGGAAGAGATCATGTGAACTAGGCTTGATATATCGTAC